CCACGACGGATCGGTACATCGACCGCATTACTGCAGAAGCTGCACCGATCCGCCTGTCAATCTCCCGTTCCATCCTTCCCTCACTCGTGAACAAGACCCCAAGATACTTAAACTCCTCCACTTGAGGCAGGAACTCTTCACCAACCTGAAGGGAACAAGCCACCCTTTTCCGACTGAGCAATTTCAGTATTTAGTTAACTATCGCATGGGATCTGCATGTGTCAGTATGAAAGCAGACCCAGAAAATTATCAAAAGTAGTTGTCGTTTGACATAAACTCAGGTTATTAAAGCCTTTGTGAAAGTTGGGGGCCTATTATCCAATGACCTTTGCCTTTGTGGCTTCCCCAGACAATTAAGAAATCAAAAAATCCATCTACATTCCAAAAGACTTTTAAATGGCTTTTTTCCTAAGCATTTTGTGATGAGTGCCCAGTATGACTGTGTGAACATCAACAAATAGGACCCACGAGGAAAGCAGGGCAGAGAGAAAAGTGGAGATACGGGTGAAGTGTGAATGTGAAAACAGTTTAACAGTTTTTGAGTGATGGGAGCTGCAGAAGGAAAAGTGGCGGTCCTGCAGTCTGTACAGCCCCAGGCTGTGTGTGTGTTTGTGTGTGTGAATGTTGGTTAGCATGATTACAAACAAACGGCTGGATGGATCATTAGCATACTTGGTAAAGATATTGGTGGGGACTGACTCTAGAAGTGATTAGACTTTGGCTGAAAAAGGTCACAGGTCAAGGTCAAAAAATTATGAAAAATCACAAAATTTCCCATCTTTAACATGGGGCAAAATTTTTAAAAATCATATCTTTGTCAAAAATGATTGAAATCATTTGAAATATACCACACATATGTAGTGTGGCAATGGGTGTCAAAATTTCATCTGGCTCTGATCCAGGTTCCGGGTCTGATGGCCATATAAATTTAACATTGAAAACCCCATTTAGCACATACTGTATGTTCTGCCATAACTTTGCCAATAATGAAGACAGAACCCTGAAATGTTCAGGTAAAGTGCACAGTGTAACTGCCTATCATGCCCTAAAAGATGATCAGATCAAAGATTTTAGGACGCATTTTGCATTGTTCTTGATCTCATGTTTCACAAGGGACCCGTTTACGTGAGCGAATGTTATGCCTTGGCAGAGGTGCATGTGCTCTCTGAGCACTCGTGTTTGAAGAACACTTTTCAAAGATAATACGTATCTTCACAGAACCATTTGTGGATTTATTGTGGGATTTTAAAACACTGTACTGAATCTCTTAACAACCTGTAACCTTTTAAATACTTGAAGAGGTAGTATTTTAAATATGTGGTATATATTTGATATTTGTCACATACCTCATCATGGCCTGCAAGCACACACCACACTCAGATTATATGAGACTGGAGAGTGATAAAAAAATCTGTATTAAGTACATTCAACTGTTTTTCCAAAGGTTTATTTTCTAATAATGGTAAAAGCTGCCCAGACCTCAGCAGATGTAATGTAAACCAAAACCACATCTGCACAGATAGATACCACCTGAATATTTGCTGGATCTAACTCTTTAATAAAAGGACAATTTTGGCTTCATACAGTATATATTTGCATCTGAAGTGTGTGTTGCTATGTATAATATAGCTCTCACCTCTTGGCTAGTAGCTGTGATCTCGTCCCAGATGGAGAGATGAGGTTGATCTCCAGGTCTCCTCGTCGTGGGTGGACAATTAGGACCTTGACCACCACATGCTCCAAGTAATCCACATGCTGCTCAGGGTCTTCCGAACACCCAGAGGTTGTAATGCTGCTGTTCAGGCTGCGGCTGATGTACCTGGAACAGCCATAATTACACATGTATTTACACGATAACTGAATAGATGTTCAAATGCAATAAAGCAAATGAGCAGTGGGGACATGTTTCATGATAGATGTACTTGAACATATTCAAATTAAAATATATATATATATAATTTAATTTCATTTATATATAATATTTAATGGAGATAATAGAATTATCTCAAGTTTCAGAGTTGGACCTGACCTGAACTATGCCTCTTCCATTTTCATACTATTTAACCCGCTCAAATTTCTGTACTTCTGCTTCCGCATTACGTTATACCGCCACGTCTATTCTTATTTTTAGCCCTGTATTCCTCTCTCCCTGCTGGGGGTCTACCAGTGCATGCAAGTGGTGTGAGTGAGGGCAGGCCCCTGCTAATGAAGTTTGTTCATCTGTTTGCTTGGTCTTTGAACATCAGATGAATGTGGAAGTTTATCAACTAATATCTGTGATGGTGCAGAGCTCAAGCGCCCTGCCGTTTGTAACATACAGCCATTACAGAAAGTGTCCAAACCCTTTAACGTTTTAAACAATTTGTAATGTTTCAGACTCATCTTAAAATGGATTAAATAGATTTTTTTTCCTCATCAGTCTACACACAATACTCCACAGTGATAAACTAAAAACACGTTTTTGAAGAGTTTTGTAAATTTAATAAAAATAAAAGACTGAAATATCCAATTTAAGACCCTTTGTTATGACACTTGCAACAGCTCTGGTGCATCCTACTCCTGTCAGTGGTTGTTGAGATGCTTATACAACTTGATTTCGAGTCCACCTGTGTCTAATTTAATTTACTGGATATAATCAAGAAAAGTACTCGCCTGGCTATATAAGGTCTCACAGTTGATGGTGTACTGTATGTCAGAGTGAGAACCAAGCCATAAGGTCAAGAAAACTGTCCACAGACATGCGAGACACAATTGTGTCAGGACACGGATCTGGGGAGAACCAAGAAAAAGCCCAGGAAACACAGGCCATAACAGCAGTGCCGGCCTCTGATGATCTGGTACCAGACCGTCATAGGTACTACACCTCTGATATTAATGTAACATCAGTCAGATTAAGTGAAAACTTACATCTGCGTTTTCTCTTTTGGTCTCGCTAGGTCACATCCTGGGGATTTCAGAATGGCAGGCTACTGGATGTGGGTTTAATGTACTGACTTCACATCTCAGTACAGTCCAGAGTTCCAAAATGCAAAAAATGTCCCACATGAGGTCAGTTCACCCTCACTAAAATACAGCAAAGAATCTTTGAAGTCATGTCATGTCAGCAAAATAAACAACTCCAGTATTTTTTGTTTTTTAAGGCATCACACATCAAAATTAAACCAACATGATACCTGCTTTATCTTTGATCTGCGTGCCAGAGGTTGGAGATAAATCGTTTGTATTTACATGAAGTGGTCATGGCAATTCACACCTCTCAGCTATGGCGGCATCTCCATGGTCATCCAACCCTGTCTATCCTCCCCCGCTCCTACACCCATCTATAGAGATGTAGAGTTGTTTGTTTTGGGGAATTCATTGTGGCAAAAATTGTGTTGTATGTATCCACCAGGTGGAGCAGTGTCTGCTGTAAATTACTGTAGAGGCTGACTGATAATTTGATCCCTCTGTTCATTTCCAGACCTGCTGCTGGATGAATATACAGTAGTAGGACACCGGACCGAGCTGAGGCAGTGTCCGTGTCTGTCACAGTAATAACTACTATTTCATTCTGCTGACGTGCTTAGACCTTCTACGCCTCTTGAGACATCGTGCCACTGGCAGTTATAGCATTATGTCTACATTTCATTCATTGTTAAGTCAAGGCTATGCTATAGATATGAGACAGTTGCTCTCAGGCTCTATTACTCCATAATGCTCTCCTGAATAATACCTCTGACTTTTCATTCAGCTCAGCAGCCTCTCTCTCATCAGCGAGCTGTTTTTTGTCACTTGCAGCAGCAATGGTTGGGTTTTCTGTTTCAGAGAAATGTAGAATCGGCTAGTTTACACTTTAGCTCTGGACACACTCCTCGGATATCTTTTGTACTGGTTTATCTGCTTGATCTGTGTGACAACTGTACAGCGCAGCTTTTGTGTGTGTGTGTGTGTGTGTGTGTGTGTGTGTGTGTGTGTGTGTGTGTGTGCGCGCGCGCGCCCGTGCATGTGGTAGCACGCTCCCTTTTGGTGTGTTTGTCAGATTACACTACAAGCTCATTATGCATCAGTTTTTAGCTCACAAAGGAGGAACTGCCCCTGGCTTAAATGGTAGTAAGACCAGAGCTCCCAGTCCTCTGGTTCTTAGCTGGCACCGGCCCCGGTACATGCACAACCCCACCCCCCACCAACAGCAGGCTACAACAAAGTGTTCCAAGGGCTCATGAGAAGGCATTAGTCAGTCATAGACATGGATGGGTTTGATGAGTTATTGCACAAAAAAAACACACACACACACACAGGAGGCTCTCTTGCTCTGATATGGTAATAAATCTGAATGGGAAAAGGTGAAATGGTGACAAGTTCATGGTAAGGGGTATTCAAAGAAAAACAATTTGAAGTCAATACTACATTGCTCATGTAGGTTCAGTTTTGCTCAAGCATTTCATGTTAATTGTTTTTCAATTTAGGTAAATCTACATGTCTGCACTAAAATATACAGTCGAGATCCAAAACAAAAATCTGCACTTCTCCAAGGCCGAGGCCTGTAGAAAGTTAAAAAGACAGCTTTAAGTAACAAATGTAACCACATAAAACAACAAGGTTAAAACAAAGGTATGATGACTTCTTTTTCTGCACCCCTGGATCAGACAGGCGAGATCCGGCCACGGTTTGGTCCTGTACAGTATTTAAAAAAAAGATTGTGCTGTTTTTTGTTGTTTTTGTATATCACATATTTGGATCTATTTGTTCTACAGTATACGGGCCTAATTTAAACTGATGAAATGCAATAATTTGATATATACATACCAATATTGTGTGATTTTTGTAACTAACTGCCTGCTTGTAGTTGTCTGTCATGATTCAGTTCCGTTTCCTTCCTGTCATGTTTTTATTTTGACATTACTTCCTGTTTTTGTTTTTGCCACAGTCTCTGTCTTTTTACTTTAGTCATCACTCACATTAGTTTCACCTGCTCCTGAGTGTTTGCACCTGTTTTCACCCCTATTTAGGCAGCATCCCAGTGGGACGCACTGTGAGTGTATAAACCGGTTTTGGTCCCCACAGTGTTAGGGGGACCAAAGTGTAGACACACACACAGAAAGCAGAGATAGATGCAGCCATAAGTGATTGCACTAACAAAATGTTTTTTACTCCTCAGCTGGACAGGCAGAGATAACCCCAGCCATCGATTCAATCTCACCCCAGGCAAAGGAAAATCAAACTGGGACTTTAATATGTCTGCAGCTCTCCTCACCTGGTGTGTCGCTCAGGCATCTGACTGCATGTATGCTGAGGAGGAACAGTCCTCCACTTCCTAGCCTCGAGCACCATGGCCTCTGCATCCACCAGGCCAAAACCATACAAGTGGCTGACTGTGAGAGAAGACACAGACTGATTACAAAATAAAGAGCAACGTGATGAGAGAGCAATTATGAGTTGGCACTCATATTCTTTAACAATACAACACTGTCATACTTTAATGTATTTCAAGTACAAAACAGGCAATGTACTATATTAGTGTTAGAGGTAATAGTGTGCAGTGTGCCTCTGTGTCCAGCAGCATTGGTCTTCCAGTCATCAGCTTTCAGGTGGAGTGGTCTGGAAGTGTTGACCAGAAGATGCTGCACATCCCTCCATGTCAGCAAAAGGCTGCAGAAAACAAAGACAAGGCTCATCTCTTTTGGCCACACAGTAACTCGCGCCCTTTATCTTTGCTAACTCTGTTTGGCATTACATTTTTATGACAGTTCAATTTCTTCACTTCAGCTCGGTTTGGAGAAATGCACCATGTGGCAGATGGTTCCTGTAGTCCACTTCAGCTATGACTGACAGTAATCCCTGGAAATGTTACCATTTGCTATTGTTTGTCCAACTCTTGTTGGAAATTACTGTACTGTAATGTTGATTATTTGAACTAAATTAGGTATTTTTTAGTTGTATTATCTGTTTACATCATAATCAGGAGCCAAAGACTGGCTAGGGAAGTCAATATAAATATTCTAAATGGACATAATATGATTATGTGAAGTTTGGGAGTGGGACCTGACCCGAACTATGCCTCTTCCATTTTCACACTATTTAAAACCACCATACTACTACTGTTTCCACTTTTCAGGCACTGGCAGACTTCCGCTTTCACAAACCCATCAAGTGCACAAGCAACTAAGCACACAGGCGTTCCATATCATAGTTCCATTCATACTTAAAGAGGGCAGGTCCCTGCTGGTGAAAGGGGCTTTTAACCCAAATGCATGTGATAACATTCTTAACCAATCAGAGAAAGCCACTGTCAGGGGTGGGAAATCATGGCTGTCAATAAGTGAACGCACTTCGGCTCGCTTGACAATGGTTGCATACTAGCAATCTATGCCTTTCAGTGGTAGCTGAGAAGGCTGTGACCTTTCCCTGGTTTGGTGCAATGATATTACTTTGCTGTGGGTCGCTCTCCTCAGATATGGTACTACAGCAATGTAGCTACACTCAACAGTACTACTCAGTTTCAGGCATGTTTTCGGACGCCACGTGTCCTATATGTGATGTAGTGGTTTTTTGCAACGTGACTTTTTCAGAGCACACTCATTCGTTCTCTGCCGATGTTCACAAATTGTGGTGGCTGTAAATGTGACATGTTCAACTGTTCTGTTGTGGAAGTTGCTATAAAGATGTGCTGTGTTTACTGTAGACATGAAGCAGATCAGTCAGCTCGGTGACCTACAGTACATTATTTTAATGCCTACTGGTTGAATGCTGCTTGATAACTTTGTGATTTTCTCTCCAAACTGTGACACTATGTGACTGGTTCTGCATTCATGAAGGATCGAGTTGCATGCAGAGTGAGCATGTAGAGGGCTGGGTGGAGCAGAGGTGACTGATTCTAGAGGCTCATGCTAGCTCTAGCTATATTTTTAAATGTTAGATATTTCACCCTTAATTTACCCTTAAGAGAATTCTGTGAATCATAAACATTTTACGTTTAATGTTTATAAAGAAGCATCTAAAGATGTAGAGAACAAAATTCAGAAGGACATTTTGAGAAATAAGGATATTTTTGGCTGTATAATTATGTAGTAGCTAGGTATGAGTATGTTGAGACAGCACCTACAGATGGGATGTAAGAAAAGGCAGAAGATAGATGGAAAAGGAGAGAACAGAATAATGAAATGATTATAGTAAAATTAAACATCAAGACAGAGAAAACGTCACTGACTTGGCCTCCAGGGTAAGAGCTATGATTCCAGCCACAATGGGAGCAGAGACAGAAGTGCCAGTGTGGCCTTCTGTGCAGCACTGCCGGAGGTCAGTGGTCATCTGCAAGGGAGGACAAACACAGGTCAGCTTCTGTTTGGTGAAACTAGTCTTTATAGATCTGATTTCATAGGGATCTCTTATATTCTTAATCAGTGCTGTATTGGTTGTCTACAGAAAGACTTCCATTCCAAAATATTTTGAGTAGACTATACACACAAATGTTCAAACAGAGGAAATCACAAAACATACATGACAAATATGTTTAGGCGTTCTTTTCCACACTTTCCCTTACTTGGGTCTAAATGAACTTGTAGAAAGCTTAAGACTTAATGTCACAAATGTTATGCCCCCATTAAGGTAAACGTAGTCTTCCACCCACTGAATCTGCCTCCTTCTTCACTGACAAAAGTCAGAAAAAAAATGAGAAAAGCTGTCAGTTACTTCGTATCAGTTACAGAGTCTGCATAATCATTACCTCCATTTCAAACAAAACGCAGTACAGAAGTACTCTCAGCTTCATACAGCATCAGTGGTGAAATTACTTCATTCTGCAGTTATTGTCTCTTCTGACTGATACTGTATCTGACTGTCAGTTATCCCGAGTCCTCAGTGCTTCAGCAGTGCTTTACTGTTGTAGCTGCTTGAAGCGGAGACAGTGTGAACTACTTCAATACAGATAGCTACTTTAGTCGACCGGTCCCCAGGGTAGGGGTCGGGACCCTCCGGAGGAACACAGGAAAACTCTGAGGGGTGGGGGGATTCATTGGAAAGGAAAAAATAACAAATGTAGTACAGATCTGTATGTTTGTTTTTGGACTTTTCATGAACCAGGAACAGTTATTGAAATGAAACCATTTGAGAAATTAAGTTAGGAAAACGTCTCCATGGCTGAGCTGCTAACTCAAAGACTACAGTTCTACAAAGGAATCATTGAGTTTGTCCTCTGCACCTCCATCACTGTCTGGTTTGGCTCAGAAACCAAACAGGACAAGTACAGACTTCAGCGGACAGTCAGGACTGTAGAAAAGGTCATTGGTGTGAGCCTGCCCTCCATGGAGGACCTGTACACCTCACGGGTCAAAAGGAGGGCGGAGAGGATCACTGCAGACCCCTCATACCCCGGACACAATCTGAACTCCTCCCCTCTGGACGGCGTTACAGGTCACTGTGCACCAAGACAACCAGGCACAGGGACAGTTTCTTCCCCCAGGCTGTCACACTAATGAACACTTAACCCACGGCAGTATGATTGGACAATAACCCTCAGTGCAATACCTGTGTATATACATAGTACAGATTATACAGACTCATACAGGTCTCTAGTTCTTAAGTACTCTGTTTTATCCCTATTTACAGTCATTTCAATGAACTTTCCTTTGTTGTCTGCATTGTTTACTGTCTGTTTATACTGCTTTTTCTGCATTGTTTGCACTGGTTGTTGCTGTTAAAACTGCTATTTTGTTATATTACACAGCCTTATGCTGGTTTTCTGTTTGCACATTGAGAGCCGATCAAATTCCTCATGTGTCCGTCAGATTTGGCCAATAAAGCAGATTCTGATTCTGATTCTGAAAATAGTTGCACTACAAAAAGCAGGCCAAATGATCATTTCCCAACATAACTGCACTAAATCCCCACATGCATGCCCGCACACACTCACAAGGACAGGTGGTCTTTACAAAAATGCAGTCTTTGTGAAAAGAGAATATATGATAATATGATGGACAGTGAAATCATAATGTTTGTATATAAAAAAAAATATATTGTATATATAATTTTGGAAACCACGACTTTAATACTGTATATTACAATGTGCTGTAATGTAAAGGCTTATAATGTTTCACTTTAAGATGTCACTCTGTGGAGCAGAAAATGTAAGAAGCAGAAAACTGAAAAGCTCAAGTACAGTACAAATACCTCAAAACCTGAGTGAAGTACACTACAGGTAAATGTACTTCATTACTTTGTGAAACTACAGTTATAGACTAAAACCTTAATACTTCAAACCAGTGTGTGTAAAAAAATAATGACAATATGAATATATCTAAACACCAGCAAGCATCTACTGAACAATGCCAAAGACCTGGAGCTTCCAGCAGTATATATTCCACCTTATTAAACCAGATATTCTAATGTGTGAGTGTTTGATGAATCAGAATCAGAATCAGCTTTATTGGCCAGGTGTGTTGGACACAAGGAATTTGACTCTGGTACAGCGGCTCTCAATGCGCATGTAGATATCCCCATTCAAGGCAACAGCAAGGGGCAAGTAAACAATAAGTAACAGATTTTGCTTCATCATTACCTAAAGTGCTGATATGAACACGCACAAACAAGAAAGAGAAGAAAGAGACAGATGATAAAAACTCTACATAAAACCCATGCACTGTGGGGAAACTAGAACTGTTTGATAATCCCACTGAAGAGCCCCTCGACTGCTGTACATGGAGTTGTTGGCCAGCATGGTAATACCTATTAGAATTGTGCAGATGCCTTGCCTTTTGCATTTTAAATGGAAAATGGATGTGGTGATGATGACATCTATGGATAAAGCAATGACAGTTGATAATAGTTTGACTGATTGCTTGATAGGGATACCTCTTGTTTAAGACATTTCAGTAAGCATTGTATTGTTTAGGTGTTCCTAGATGTAAACACTGGAGGGGCTTGTTACTGAGTTGATGGTTTAGTAACAGATTAGCCTCATCACACAGGCAGGTTTATAGGAAACTTGCAGTTGGACAAAGTGAACACCTTAATGTATAACGCTGGCAAAATGTTAGTGGATGATGTATCCGAGGACGTGTAAAGGATTACAATAGATGCAAAGATTACATTTCCTAAAAAGTTGGAAAGCCAAAAAAAAAACAAAAAAAACAAAACATGATACGCTGTTAAAGATTGTGGTTCAACAACAAATGGAGACAAAAAAGACAAGCTTGTTTATGAGCTGAGAAAATGCAAACATACATAGAAATGTGGTCAGTGTGGCAAGTGTAAAGACAAAAAGCAGAGAGCATACGAAAAGAGAAGGATCATCATTGGTTGGTCAGAACTAACTGTTGAGTACCACTTGGTCAGTTCATACAAAAGTGGCAAAGTGAACTTCAAGGTGTGTCAGCTTGTGAAGTATACACATAGTTTAAAGAGGAATTGAAGTAGGAACAGTACTTGTTATATGAAAACCAAATGTACAGGCAGGCTGTTTGTAATTTGAGACGAATAATACTAAATTCCCCAAGGTTATTGGGCGATCCAAAGTGCTGGAGAAAACCCTGTAGATGTATGCAGGTTGTTGAATAAGAGCATTAAAACAGTAACCAGTTCATTTATCCATTCATCTGTCTTTCATATTATTGTTTTAGTTTTTTATTCTTGACAAAACCTGTAATACTTCATCTCAGTTTCTGTTTTTATAGCTTCCTTTTTATTTAGTTTTACTTGTGAAAAATGATTGTAAGCAAATATTTTTCTTCTTATTAGTAGTTGAGTGCAGCTGGCACTTAGGGTTCAGTGGAAAATCGTTTTGCCAGTATTATTTGTGCTGTGACATATATTATTTAAGAAAAACTGATCTTTTAGTGCTAAAAATTTGTCCAGGAATTTCACAGGTAAGAAATGCAATGAACTTTGTCAAGTTGTTTTTGGGGCGTTATGCCTTTATTTTTATTATTTAATGGGGCAAGTGGGTCATGGAGAGGCAGACAGTAAAGAGGGCAGACAGAGTAGCGGACCTGCTACACAGGTCAGCGGCCGGACTCGAGCTGCCAACATCATGCACACACTGTGCTTGTATACGGTGCTACCCACCATAGCCATTTGGCTGTTGGGGTGACCCAACTTTGTCATCATTTAACATTTATAATTCTATGGCCACATAGACGGGATGGCTCCCCTCCCCCTTAAAGGTTGAGAAAACAATGGCCCGATGCCACTGTTGGTGTCTATAGTAGTAGATATCCATTATAAGATGTACTGATTTTTTTTTTGTCAAAAGCAAGCTGCCTGCTGCAAACAAAGCTGATAAGACCAGAGTTTATGAGACATAAAACTAAAACAATGATCTGAAACAGGTTCAGCGTACACACACATATTTTATACTCTATGTCAAAATTTCTGCCTGAGCTTTACAGTTGGTGTCCAAATGTCCAATTATCCAGTACTCACAATTTTCCTCTCTTTAAACTCTCCACTGCTGTAGGTGGTGGCTATGATGGAGCTACAGACCTCGAGGTACCACGGCTTGTTTCCATTCTCTGTGGTGCTGGAGATGGAGATGGTGTAGATACTGTTGGTGTAACCATCACATGAACAGTGATCGCCCTGCCGACCACCATTACCTGAGGCCCAGACGAAAATAGAGCCCAGACCTTTGCGGCCCTGAGTGACATAAATACATAGTGCTGTGAGTCCACTCTAACATCAGTCATACATAAGTCTGCTCCGAGGCTTTGTGAGGTCTCTCTGTGACAGATCAAACCTTCTTGATGCCTTGCTCAAAAGCCTGCTTGGTTAGTGGCCCCGGGCCATCCACTGTCTTGCCATCATCTCTTGGGCCCCAGCTGGCGCTGTAGATGTCGATGTAGTCAGGTTGCACTCCCAGGGACTTGGCCTCTACTATATCAGTTACATCACCATCCAGCATTCGAATCCCTGTGTTCAAGGCAACATTAGTGTCAATACATGCAACTTATTTCAGATGGAATGAATGAAAGACGCACAGTCTTCTTTGCATCTACATCACATTACACCCATTATACTGGGTGTATAAATAAAAGACTAAAGGGAGCAGCTACACAAAATAATAAAATGATAACACAATTTTGAAGCTTAGAACACAAGAGTAACATACAGCAACTCGGTTTATACAAGTCTCACAAACTGTCAAGGCGATTACTGAAAACAGAGAAAACAAAAGAAAAAACTGAGTTTTAATCATTAACCTGCAGCTGCTGTCTCTTTGAAATTAGTTTAGTAACCTCACTGCCCTTGAAACCTTGGGGTTATAACCTAATTTTGGGGGGCTTGTTTACAAACTGAATTGCAAACTACTATTGAACTACTTTTCAAATTTGTGTGGTAACATGTTGACTGTTAGCTTAGTGTCAGTAAGCCTATTGTCAATATAGCTTCTGTGTGTAACTTCTCAGGTTGAGTTGTACGCAGTGATCTGTGAGTTAGTAGTTACAGTCAGGACAGGTTGTTTTGTGCTTTAGCTTTGTTCTGTTGGCAAAGTCATTTTGCTACCATTACAGAGAACACCAAAAACATCTGAGCAGTTAAGTCAGATGCTGGTGAGGCCATGAAATTTAAATCAAATCTAATTTTATTTGTATAGCGCCAAATCACAACAAAAGTAATCTCAGGACACTTTACAAAGTAAGGTCTAGACCTTACTGTTATCAATATTATTACAGAGGGAAAACCCAACAAATCCCCCTTGAGCAAGCACTTGGAGACAGTGGGGAGGAAAAACTCCCTTTAACGGAAGAAACCTCCGACAG